TCTGAAAATTTTCGAAAAAAAAAAAAAAAAAAAAAAAAGAAAATCAAAGTCCCTGCTTTAATTAGGCACCAATTACTTTATTTTTTTTTCAATTTTTCGCATGGAAAATATTCAGTAGTTATCGTTGGGGATCGAGTGACAGCAAGTCTCCTCAAATCTCTCTATATATTAACATTTTTACGACTGTAGTCTGAATTGTTTCTTTTTCTTCGTCTTCTTCTTTTTGTGCTTTGTCTCTTCAGGACGTGAGCGATCGTGGATCTCCACAACTTCATATCCTTTGTAGCTCTTAGTAAGGTTTGTCTTTTCGTATTCTCCCCATTTCCTTTTCTTTTTCACACACACACACACACACACACATATATATATATATATATATATATATATATATATATATATATATATATATATATATATATATATTAAAATAACTTGAAAGAACAATGAGATTTATAATTCAGAGTTCTTAGGATTTATTTTATTTTAAAAACACTGTTCAATACAACCGTAGAGCATAATATTATTTTTTTTTTTTTTTTTTTAAACATACTAAGAACATTGAATTATAAATCTCATTGTTCTTTCCTATTATTTAATATATATATACATACATACATATATATATATATATATATATATTTATATATATATATATATATATATATATATATATATATATATATATTGGCTCCCAATAAAGGTAGAGCACTTTTAATTTTTAATTTTTATTTTTCAAATAAAAAAATCTTTTTTAAAAACTATTATAATATATATGTATGTATGTATGTATGTATATATATATATATATATATATATATATATATATATATATATATATATACATACATATATATATATATATATATATATATATATATATACATACATATATATATATATATATATATATATATATATATATATATATATATATATATATATATATATATATATACATACATACATATATATATATATATATATATATATATATATATATATATATATATATATATATATACAATCCATACATTCAGTTAAAACTAAAAATAAAATCATTCTTGGTGATGGCTAAAAGTATAGCCGAAAGCGCTCGGACATACAGAACATTCGAACAACTTGTTTATAATTTATGACCAGGAAAGGATAAAATTATAAGAACGCAAGGGATTAAATAAAATAATTAATCGCAATAGCTTGTCAGTCGTTTTTAACGAAACTTTTATAAAAGAGGAATTTCTGCCCAAATATACAGAATATATACGTGTGTGTTTGTGTGTGTGTGTGGGGGGGTATACTTAATATGTATATGTGTATGTATACTTACTAGAACTCTGAACTTTCTTTTCATACAAACCTTCCATGTTCATACAATTTCAGTACTTTTTGTGGAGTTTAGCAAAGCAAGACTAGATTATAAAAACAAAAACAAACAAAAATATAAGTGACCAATCGAATGTCTTGTTACAATGTAATAAAAAGTTAAATAAAATTTTATATTTAATTAAAAGAAAAATAATCAAAGTGCTGATAGTTTTTTAAAATACTATATTATATAAAAAAAAAGAAGAAAAATGTAGTTTCTGCAAAATTGAGGTGTAAACATTTAAAAATATTTAAAGCGTTGATAGATATTAAACTTTAAAGCAACGACTGTTCTGTGTAATAAAAACTCGGTAAAATATTAAATTTTGTTTTCTTTTACGAATTTAATGCATCAATACTATTTAAAAAATAAATGTGACTCATTAATTAATTGAAAACGTTGAAAAACAAGCGCTAAGCATTGCAAAGGTAATTTTACCCGATCATTTCAGCAGTTGGATATTCCAATCAAAGTTCACTTAATTTTATATAGCTATTTGCTTTGGTGTGATAAAAACCAAGAAAAATATGACGTTGGATTTTATATAAGTTGTGAAAGAAAACATACACATGACAAATTTAATTTTTTAAGAAATCAGAAAAATAGAAAAAAAAAAAAGAGAATGGCATTAAAAGAAAGAAGAAAGTTAACGATGAGAAAGTATAAGGTACGAGTGGATTGGGGTTTAATAAAAGTAAGAAAAAATAGTGGGTCATAAATATTTCGAACGCACTGACTTTAGGTCGTTTATCGGAAGTACAGGAAGCAGGGTTTATTAAAAAGCAGGAAAACTTAGGCTTAATCAGAACGATTCTTTGTTCCATATTGACTTTCTCTCCTTCTTCCATAAATACGTCCTCATCGACCATGCATTGAAATGATTAACTGATATAATCCACAAATGAGTCAACACATTTTGATATATATATCCCTCTCTCTTTCTATCTATATCTATATTTATCTCTCTCTGTCTCTGTCTCTGTCTCTCTCTCTCTCTCTCTCTATATATATATATATATATATATATATATATATATATGCGCGAAGACTCATTATATATATATATATATATATATATATATATATATATATATATATATATATGCGCCAGTCACTTTCCCACCGCACCGTAATGTAGCTTCCCTGTACCCTTTCTATAAATACTTTCATTTTAATTGTTCGTATGAACTTTCCGCTATCGTACCTAGACTTTATGAATTTAAGTGCAATACTAGATTGGCGACAAGGTCTCATCAATTCATCGTTGAATTGGCTAGTAAGTTTTGAATTGAACCGTAAGTTTTGAATTGAACCGTAAGTTTTGAATTGAACCGTAAGTTTTATGTTAAGTTTCTTTTCCCGCACATCTCACTTGCGGAATTCTCTTCCGGCTCCAAGCTTTCCAGCCAACCTTGATCTTCAAAAATTTAAATGCAATGTCAATCGTTATCTACTGTGTTTCTTGATTAGTCTTCTATTGTTCTTGTGGCTTCATAATGTTTTTCTTCTTATTCTTTCGCTCTCAGTAACCCCTTGCGTCTTAGTTGTTTTACTGCCTTGCATAATTATATATATATATATATATATATAGTTTTAATGTATGCTATATTTATGGGTAAATGTCCTCAATATCAGGGATAGAGTGTATGTAAATATAAAAGTGACGATAGTCAGTTTAATGCTTGAACGCAAACTTCAGACATGAGGATTGCGTTCAAGCATGAAACAAACTCTCGCCACGCGATGTTGAACAAAGTGTCCACACACACACACACACACACACACACACACACACACACACACACACACACACACCTGGCATCCTCGAATACGAGCGATCTAATTGACAGACATCCTCGGATACATATATAATGGCTTTTCTCTCTTTCTCTCTCGGCTAGGAACAGGCATATTTGTGTTTGTTCAACACCCACAGAACCCACCTGTGGTCTATACTGAAAGTATGCTGAGCTGACCTTAGTTACAGTTTCTGGGGTAGGACACATTACTTGGCGTGATCAACAGTCTGAACAAGGCCAGCAAGCTGAAACCTTCAATCACGATGACTTGTAAATTCGTGCTAGCACAACCATAGACGTTTCCCATATAGTTCTGTTCACCCAATTTCATTGACAAGGCATGTGTCATGCTGTGGTATTCTTTTCAGGCACTTTCCCAAAGTTCTACACGCTGGGATTGCCTACCCCAGAACGATGACATCCTATCTAAACTCAGTATCTATGCCAATGACACAACTATTTTCTCCAGTCTTAATAGTAAGTCTGATCAGTTTGATAAAGTCAAATTGGCAGTTGATCTTAAAAATGGACTACGATCTGTTGTTAACTGGGGCAAGGAATGGCATGTTAATTTTAACGTCTTCAAAACGTAACTGCACTCTTTTAATCGTCTAAGAGATCCTATTTTATCTTCCAACTGCATGGCTGATGCTAATCTCCAGGAGAAAGACTCATTGCCCCTTCTCGAACTAACGTTTTCCACGGATATGATGTGGAAAGATTATATTGAATCAATTATTAGATCTGCTTTTAGGAAAGTTGGTTCACTGTGTCATGCTAGACAATTTTCCCAAGAGAATCTATCTTACATATTTATAAGTCTACCATTCGTCCTTGCTTTGAATGCTGCTACCACATAAGGTTTGGTGCTCCTGCTATATCTTTAGAGATTCTTAATAAAATCCAAAGAATCTGCAATATTATTGGTCTTGACCTGACATCTCGAGTTCATTCACTTCCGTACCGCAGTAACGTGGCTTCCTTGTGTCTTTTCTATAAATACTTTCATGGTAATTGTTTTAATGAAATTTACTCTTTGGCACCTAGACTTTATGAATTAAAGCGCAGTACTTGATTGGCGACAATGTCTAATCCTTTTACAGTTGAAATGGCTATAAGGAACTGTAAGTTCTATGCTAACAGTTTCTTCTATCCAACTTCTTGATGGTGGAATACTCTTCCGGCTTATTGCTTCACAGTCAACTTTGATTTTCAAAAATTTAAATGCAAAGCCAATCGTTATCTTCTGTCGTCTGAAGTCCTGATCTTTTATTGTTCTCTCTCTTTAATAATGTTTTTTTTTTATATTCTCTAACACTCAGTAAACCCCTTGCTTCTTAGTGGCTTTATTGCTTTGTTTGCGGTGAAATGATTAGAAAAAAAACTAGTGTATAGTTTCTGATTAATTAGATCACTACTTAATCGAGGCATCTGATCTTGAAAAAACATGTTTATTACTCGTTTCGTCACATATTCGTTTAAAAGTAACTCTAAAATTGTAGGTATAAAAATTAGATATTTCTAATATATATATATATATATATATATATATATATATATATATATATATATATAATTTATTGATTAGTTTTCTACGATTTATCAACTCTTTGCAGGTTATTTAAGGTCAGGAAATTATTAGATTGTAAGAAATATTTTTGAGATAATAATGATTTACCGATACAAGTCTTACTAATTAACCCATAGCTGAGGAGAGAAAACGTGGATTCATAACTTTCCCAAGAGTATTTGCTATAACAAGCCCAACTAGAATTGGAACTAATTCCAATTTCCAATTCCGAGCCATTATCAATTTCACCACTCGTACATCCAAGATTACACCACCTGGTATTCCCAAGCGTCACGCATCTATTTGCTGAACAGGATCGACGTTGCTTAACTTCCGTAATCGTACGAGAACCGGTGTTTCAACGTGATATGACCCTAAGCCTTATATATATATATATATATATATATATATATATATATATATATATATATATATATATATAAAGAATAATCACACATAGAATTAATCAGAAGTATCATTGCGATTATTGGCGACATCCATCGCTAGAAAACATAATATATGCATTAAAATCCTGTTCATCCATAGTGCGAGTTTTGATCCTTGAAGAAAAACTTGTCTGTAGTTTTTCAGTTTATTTGATGTTAAAATGCTAGTACTTACGAACAGTCTTCCATCCTTCATCAGGTATGTGTTTTTTTTTCCTTATAAAATCAAAAACTTGAGACGATATACCTGTATGTCGACCGAAAGATGTTTTTTGAATATCTGCTATTATTGACGGTTGTAAGATATCGGAACGTGCAAAGACGCAACGCTAAGTTTTTCAAAATTTTTAAGTGAGAATTTTATTTAAATATTTCTTGTGTTAAATCCACGTATTCTATATATATATATATAGCGAGAGAGGGGTGGATATTGAACATAGATAGATAGATATGAACAGACACACACGCACATATATATATATATAGAGAGAGAGAAAGAAAGAAAGAAAGAAAGAAAGAAATATAGATAGATAGATAGATAGATAGAAAGAGACAGAGATATAATGACTTTGATCTTAAATAACGTTATAAGATCCTTCTTTATTTGTTTATTCCTCGTGTTTGTTGTATTTAAAAAGAAAACATTTTACAAATAACATTTTCAGTTACTTTTTAATACAATCTGGCATATAACTTATTTCAATGTTCATAACTCCCTTGAAATAACACAAGACCCCAGTAAAAGATATCCCGAATAAGATTAGCAAGCTTCAATGACAGTCTAAACGAAATAGTGGAATATTAACTGTTTTTGATGGCTTTGCTGAAAAGTGTACATGCTCAAAGGAATAACCATAAAAACGGTCATAAAACCAAATAATCTCGCTTCCGGTTTTCCCCGTTTTTAACAGGTGGAGAACATATGCGTGCAAATGACGTCATGTTTTCGTAATCACACTGAACGTATAATCCATTCACGTGATCACTTTTTGTTACTCCTCCATTTTACATTTTGTACAACGACAGAGAATACATATACACACGTATAAACACATTTAGCTTGTAATACATGTACACACACACTTCTTTTTTTAAGTATTTAAACAAACAGACATTTTTTTCTGCTAAGCGCTTAGTTTTGCGAATAAAAAACGCAAAAAGAACCAAATTTCATGGCAAATATAACAAGATATTCATTGAGTCAGGTTTTGCTGTTCTGAATGTTAAATTCCTGGAAAATGTTTTTTTAATGAAATTAATTTGTTAAATTAAAAACAAGTTTTTCTAACCTTTAAAACTTGTTCAAAATTGGTCAATGAGATTGAAAAGACAAACTTACATTGCTCTTTCTTAAACTAAATAGTTAAAAATTCTTAATGGCACTTACAATCTTAGGCAATAAGAAATATATTTTGTGTTTATTCAAATATGTATGAGCAGTTCTCTATAGAAGTTTTGTTTATAAGTAGTTAAACAAATTGTTTTTTCATTGATACTTTGAAAAAAATATAGAAAAATACGACATAAAATCAAAGAAGGTTGTGGTTGTTATGAATAATCGAGAGTGGTCTCCCCTTGTCTTGTTACTCTCTTCTTTGATAGAGGTATTTCTGTTTACTGGGACCATAAAAGGACACTATACGCGAACCTTGTATTCTCAGTTGAATAAAGCTTTCGTAAAGCCTAAACCTGCATACTTTTGTCATTACGATAAGATCAAAATTGGCGTTTAAAGAAGGTAGTGGTATTTGCTGTCCTACATGTAAATAAAGTGCAAGGGAATTTTTATTTCTTTCTCATTGCATTTATTCATTTTATCTATTTTGAAGAAAGAGAAAACTATAATGATGAATTTTTTAAAAATTGTTTATTTTATGATATCTTATAACTGGAGCCGTTAAACCGAAGTGGCAAAACAAAAAATTTCATTTTTCTTTCGTTGAAACACTCCAAGTCATTAAGTGAGGAATCGCTGTACTTTCAACTCTACTAAAAATATATCGGTCTGCAAGTGCTTCAAAATACTGGCTTAGCCAAAATGTTCGTTCGGTTATTAAATAAATTTTATACTTAAAGCGAACTAACTTTTGACTAACCTTATATATACCAATCATTTGTTAAGCCCTCTTAATTTCTATCATATCGTTTTTCTGATGTTATGTGCCGAGTCTCTACAGTATGTCAAGGCTCACCAAAATTTCCAATCCTTTATTGCTCTTAATAAATTTTATCTTTTTGCTATCTCTCCTAAACCCTGTTCTGCCATTCCATTTACACAAGGTCGTTAGGTAGATTATGAGTTGTTTTCCTTTACCTTTCTTGCCTTCAATATGTCATGTGAATGTCAAATTTTCCAGACACTCTGGGATGCTTGTTCCAGTGTCTTTAACGAACCCGCACTGTTCTTATCCTATTTTAGGTCTAATTCTGCTGTGCCCAGAATTCCGATAAGTTTTGTTATATGGTACATTAGGCTGGTTGTTCGATGTGGCTCGCATTCGTTTGTACCTGGCTTCTTAGACACTGCTGTGAAAATGGATCTACTTAGGTCTTCCGGTATATATCCACTGTTGTATATTTCATTTATTATGTCTGTAATCATCTAAGGTTGGTAGCATCTCTATTATAATTCTGTCTGACCCTGTTGCTTTGTTTCTCTTCAATTTGGCTAGTGCTGATTTCACTTCAGATTTGAATATTTCTGGTCCTTCCATATCTCTATGTATTGCATTATATTGTCGGTCAAGTTTAATTAAATATATCTTCTTCAAAGGCTGACACCAAAGTGTAGCAAAATTGCATTTTCTAACAATCTGATTCAATTTGTTTGTTCTGAAATTTTGCATCGAAAAGTAACAAAACATACTTAATCACAAAAAAGTTTCTACAAAAGAAAGAAGTTGAAGTTATTTATTATATTGTGGTGAGAGAAAATTAAATAAAAATAAATAATAACGAGGAGGCCAAAAATTCACAATCTCTAAAAATAGGCGGATAATAAAAATTGCCAGGCAAACAAAGCCATAGTCCGACCAACCATTTATAAATCTTTCGTAACCAGGATATAGGCTGCGAACCAATGAGAACCAGAGAACACATTTCGAAGCGGATCTATACATAAGTGTATATAACTAGATGGAAAAATCCATCAAAATCAGTCATTAAATTAATTTTGTCCATTCTCCGATGCTTCTGTTATCGTAAAACACCCAGAGACGAAAAACGACATTTGCACGACTAGCTAGCAACCTTAGACTGCACACCCTTCAGTACTACATTGAAAACAAACATACATTCCTTCACCATGTTGTCAAGCAGCGGCTACTACATTATGCATACATACATATGTACGTAGATATATTCTGTGTATTTAAACAGAAAAATATTTTTGAATGTTAATATTATATTAAAAACGAGAAACGATTAATTTTAATTATCGACTTTACCAAATCACGAATAGTCTCCCTCAGAGAAGGAGGTGATACTGTCAGAAACTGTCCGAAGATCATTTCGGAAGAAAAGTACAGGAATTATGTCGTTATCTTAGTAGATCGAGACAATTGGTGAGTTTTGTAGAACTATTGAGTGTTGTAATATAAGCAAATATTAATGTGACGTAGAAAGCTTATCTGCGCCCGTGTGGATGATGAATTATTTTTCACCCTACAATTCCTTTCACATAGGCGAAAGTCGCAAGCCTATTGCTGTTCCATCACTATTTCTATGGAAAGTGTTCAGGCGAACCGCATTCCTTAGTTCTACCAGTTATAACCTTCTCGGCTAAGACCCCAACCCCCATGCCACTCACATTGTAGCGAACCATCCTCATTCCTTTCGTATTTCATTGGTGAGATGTAAGTTCCATTCGAGCAGCTTCTTCCTACGAACCGCTGCTCTGTGGATCCGATTCACAAGATGATGCTTCCCGGATCACTACAGTCTTAACCGGTTCAAGTTTAGGGTTAACCGCTATCTTCCCCAGTGTTGTGATGTGGGGTCTGGCAAGACACAACACTTAACACGACAGAGTCAGTCGTGATAGTAGTATTCAATGCTTAGCCAAACAAATCACTGCAATAGTATTATCTTCTTTTCCTAGACAATTACCCAGTACTACTTATGAATGGATAATTCCACTCATGATAGTAAAGAGGATAACTGGTTCGTACCAAAATATCCGCATAAACTGCGCGCCTTACTCTATAACACTCTATCTCGAGTGACTCTCGAGCCTTGTACAGGATGAATATCACTGTATAAAAATACCCGTTTAAATATTCTCGATAGACTATTTTAGTATTGTTATTTGTTTTCTGTTTCGAAAAAAAATGTTTTACTCTTAGCTGCTTGCTAAACGCACAGTAGTTAAGAAAACGGTGCCGTCAACCAATTTATTTTTTTTAATCATTTCACCTCCAGCAAGGCAATAAAAACAATAAAAGTTACTGAATGTGTGAGAATATAAGAAAAAAAAAACACTATTAAGGAAAGAGAACAATAAAAGAACATGAATTAAGAAGACAAAAGATAATGATTGACATTGCATTTAATGTGAGAAGATCAAAGTTGACTGGAAAGCGATAAGCTGAAAGAATTGCGAGAGAAGACACTTTTATCATAGGAGTTACGGTTACATCTAGCAGCCATTTCACTTGTAAAATGATGAGACTTTGCCGCCAATATAGTACTGCACTTGAATTCATAAAGTCTAGGTACCACCAGAAAATTGTCCAGCACAGTGAACCAACTTTCCTAGCAGCAGAACTAGCAGTTGATTCAATAAAATCTTTCCATTTCATGTCAGCGGAAAATGTGAGTCCGAGAAATCACAATTAGTCACTTTCTTCAGGGTTAGCATCAGCCATGTTAATGGAATTCAGAAAGGAGAGAAAAGCAAAAATTTTCGACACTTACTTTATTTTGACCTATTT